ATGGAGGAGAAGGGATTGCAGTGTGGCCATCCCCCCTGGGGGGTGATTTCTCGTTTTCTGTCTCTCTGTCTCTCTCTTTCTGGTGAGCACACGTGCCCTGTAGCAAAAACCTCTCCAAAAAAAAAAAAAAGAGTGAAGGATCAAGATGCTAGTTAGCAGAAGGCCAGGAGCCCAGGACAAGGCGTCTGAGCAGAAAGAAATGAGAGCGTAGGCTTGAAGGTTCTCATCACTTTTACATCTGACACTGCTGGGTATACATATTGTAGAAACACAAAATAAGTGTTCTTTGTTTTTGTTTTGTTTTAACTTGCCAGAGAACACATGCACTTGCTAGAGGGAAGGAGAGAGAGAGAGAGAACACCCCCCATGGGAATGGTCACACTTCAATCTCTTTTCTCCATCTCTTCCTCGTTCTGGATTTGGGGCACACAGCACAACTTCTGGCATATTTTTCAAGCCACTGGATCTAGGACTCAAAGCACTCAGTCAGCCACGTAAGATCCAACCACCACAATCACCATGCTACTGCCTGGCCCTCAGGTAAGTTTTATTCCCATAAGCTTGGCATCCCTTTGGCCTCTCCAGTCGTCCAGTTATAGTCAGGCGTGTTCCCCAATTTGTATCTGCTTGTCTTGCTCTCTCATCTCTCCTCCCGCTCTCCCTTCATTCACAAGTATGGGGATCTACTATGTTGCAGGCACTCTGGTAACCAGTTGGGAGGTAAGAGCATTAACTGTGGTCTCAGACATGATAAAGTGCCCAGTGAATGAGCCAAGAGAGAGCCTTAAACATCCACTACAATGTATCGCGGTAGTGCTGGAGGAGACATAGGAAGTGTTCCAGACAGCATTCTCTTCGTTGCTCCCAACCATTGTTTGCTTGAAAAGATGCCTTTCGGGACCAGCAGTTGGTGTAATGGCTATGTTGGTGGACTCCCATGTAGCCAACCACAGTTTGAGTCCCGGACCGGGTGGCTTAAACTCACATAGGCACATGTGCATGTGTGCCCAAGACCCCGAGAGGAGAATGGAGGAGAAGGGATTGTGGCATGGCCATCCCCCCGGGGGGTGATTTCTCGCTTTCTGTCTCTCTGTTTTACTCTGTCTTTTTTGGTGAGCACGCACACCCTATAGCCAAAAAAAAAAAAAAGCCTTTTACTTCTAGAGGAAACAGAATGCACAGTTTTCTATAGAGAATAATATGTGCAGCGATGTGTATAATGTGTTGACAGTTTAAAACTATTTTGTTTCTAGGGAGAAATACTGGGCTAATCATAAGGAAAATTACCAAACTATAAAATATACACATAAAAACCTCTCTTTTATTCTCCTGGGTATCTTTTGTTTTTTCCTCCCCTCTCCTGACCCTGTATTCTATTACCTTATTTACTGCCCTAGGGAACATCAGTGTTTCAATAGGGAAAACTGCATACATGTGACAAGGAAAAACATACAAATAAAAACAAAGCTCAAATGTAAAAATTCACAGTTATAATCTGCCATTTGCACATGCAATTTAAACACGCTATTGTTCCAATTCCTTATGAAACAACAGACATTATCAGACATTGAGCATTTATAGTAAATGGTCCATGCAGGGATCATAGAAAAGAGTAAGATAGGGGAGAAACATAGAAACTTGTCATAACGCTTCCTGCTGCTTCTTACAGGATTAGGAAAGCTTTCTAGTTAGACCTGAAATGAACAACCAGTGCCAGCATTGCACACGGGTGTATAAATTATTAAGACTCTTAAGGGAAATCAATTCTGACCTGCATACCGCCTCTTTCCTCTGAGGTCAATAACATTGTCCTCTTCTCCTTTATCAAGAAACTGAACTTCTTTCTCATGTAAGAGCTGTGTGATCTTGACCTGCTGCCGCTTGACCCGGGTCTCAAGCAGGTACACCTGGGCTCTGAGCCGCGTCAGCTCCTGGGGACAGTCCTCGGCAGCCTGCAAAAATAACGTGTTCGTTCGTGGAAAACGAACGCTGCTGATAACATGGATCAATCATGACTCAATATTGTCTCCGGCCCTCATTCAGAATATGATTCCAACCAGAAGGTGGTTTGGAGAGTTCAAATGCTATTTGCTATTTTCAGAATAAGAAAGGATGTTTATTCTAAAGCTCTTAAAACTTAACAAATGAAATAATATAAAATAATCAGAATAATTGTGCAAAGAGAGTTATAGTGATTGCCTCATTAAATTTTCACCATAATCCCATGAAGTAGAAATAGCTTCAATCCTGAGGAGACTTCCTCAGTGATACCCAGCAGGGAAGAGGAGTCAGGATTCAAATCCAGTCCAAGGACCATGCTCTTAATCTTTTTATTTAAATAATTATTTTTATTTAACTTTATTTATTTAAATTTGACCAGAGAGTGACAGAGTGAGAGAGACAGAGAGAAAGTGAGAAAGCAAACCACCAGGTCTGGGACTTGAACCTCAGTCAGCCATGTGGGAGTCCAGCACCACTAACTGCCATGCCACCTGTCATCCCTGATGCTCTTAATCTTTACATGATACTGTCTATGTGTTTTCTTTTTTGAAATTTTATTTACTTATTTATTTTAGACAGATTTTTTGCTATAGGGAATGTGAACTCGTCAGAGAGACAGAGACAGAAAGTGAGAAATCACTCCCCGGGAGAATGGCCACACCACAATCCCTGCTCCTCCATTCTCCTCTTGGGATTTTGGGCACACATGCACACTCACCCTATGTGTTTTCTAAATAGTAAAGCGCTTTACAGAAGTTTATTGTTTCGTTAGTATATAAATCCCCCAAATAAAAGGTATTTAAATGATCTTTTGGTATAAATGTTATATATTTTTAAAATATAATTTGATAGGCCAGCAGGTGACCTGGTAATTAAAGTGGTTTGAGTGATTCCGTGATTTGAGTCCCAGATCCAGCAGCTTGAAAAATACACCAGGTGCATGTGCATACATGCCCAGAATTCCCAAAGGAGAATGGAGACGGGATAGAGGCATAGCCATCCCCCTCAGGGGAGCAATTTCTCACTCTGGTAAGTGCATGTGCCCTATAGAAAGGTTTTTGCTATAGGGTGCATGTGCTCGCCTGAGAGACAGAAAACGAGAAATCATCCCCCAGGGAGTATGGCCACCCCACGATCCCTTCTCCTCCATTCTCTTCTCGGGATCTTGGGCATGCACGCACACGCGCCCGGCGTGAGTTTAAGCCACCGGGTCCGGGACTCGAACTATAGTTGACTACATGGGAATCCAGAGACATAGCCATTACGCTAACTGCTGGTCTCCCCCATATAACACCTTTGTAAAGGAGGCTAGTTTATTTCCTCCCTGAGAATCTCATCCACCTGCTTATTGCTGGGAATTCTACTAGAGTCGCTTTAAGTTTTTATTTGTTATTTTTCCCTTGGCTATTTCAGAAAGGGATGGGAAGAGACTGAATTGGTCCAGTTAAAACACTTTTCTTCTTTTTTAAGGCCCAAGAATATTGCATGTGAAGGAGTTTTTCAGCTCCTTCCTTTCATTTCTTCTGTTTTCTTTTTCTTTTCTTTTCTGCCTCGGTCTCCTGAGTAGCTTGGATTACCAGCAATGGTCACTGCAACTGGCTCTGTAGAGTGGGCCTCCCACGTGGTCGCAGCCCTGGAGCGGCAGCATACAGCCCGTGCTACAGTGTCAGGGCCCTGAATTTTTTTAGGGGGCCAGCAGGTGGTGTGATGGTTAAAGGCACTAGACTCCCACATGGCTGACTACAGTTCAAGTCCCGGACCTGGTGACTTGCTTTCTCACTTTCCTTCTCTCTCTGATCAAATTGGGAAATAATAATAACAAACAAAGTTTAAAAAATAATTTAAAAATTTTAAGCATTTGGTAAGTGTTACTCTATGCCAGGTGCTTCCCCAACCTTTATTTCCTCCACTTAATTAAGCTTTCTCAATGACACTTCACGGTTTTTTTGGGGGTTTTTTGTTCTTTTTTGTTTTTCTGTTTTTGTTTTTGTTCTGCAAAATAAAAGGAAATCCAGGTCAAAGCAGGCATTATAAATCTAATAGTAATTTTCACAAGCTTACC